GGAATTCTCCTCCAATATACTATGAGTATGTTGATGATGAAACGTCGTGCTCCAGTGTACGTTCCTCGGTGCTGCCTATTGCAAGAGTGTTACTGAAAATGCAGCATTTGTATAGAACTCTGATCATGAGGCAATTCATTGTCTTAATGCTCAACCCACGACATGCTAAATGGGTGTCTTACAAAAATTTCGGTGGCAAAGAAGAAGGGTTCTCATTTCAAGAATATTTGAAGGAAGTAGGTTAATACCACATTGCATATGTAAGAGATCACGATGCTGGAGTGGAAGATATCAAATTTCAAGATGTACTAAACCCTTGAGAAAGGGGGACTTGATTAAATATATATATATATTTATTTATTTATATATTTGCTTTGTGCAATTAAAGTGAGTGTTTCCTCATTCTTAAATCAACTTGGTCGTGTGAGCGAATCCACAATTAGCAATGTCGAGCGAGCTCCGTTGCTCCTGGTTGAGTGAATCCTAGGTTTTATCCTCATCTCCTCGAGACCCCTGGGTGTTTTCCTGCATCACAAAAGTAATTCAATTACTATTTGGAAGAAGTACCAGATATATGCTTTTTACATAAAACATTTCAAGTACTTTTTCAGAATCTACTTAGAGGTTTCAGAAACAAGTACTTTCAATCATTTATAAACACTTTCAAAATTCACATGTATTGTAACGTTTTAATATCTCTACGTAGTAAAGTGAAAACAAATTAAAAAGTTGCGTCTCTTTTAAAAGTGGCCCTTAATATCATGATTCACGTGGGTGTATTTTGTAATTAGCTTTTTTGTTTGAAATAAATAAATTATTTATGTTATTTATTTTTGGGACTAAAATGAAAAAGAAAAAAGATTGATTGGAAGATTGCATTCAAAAAAGAAAAAAGGGTAAATTACATTTTACCCCTTAGATTTCGGTGCAATTACAACTTTATAACATCTTTAAAATATTTTAATCTCATACATTTAGTATTTTTTTTTCAATTTCTTACAACCGTTAAAAAATATGTTAAGTTAACCGTTAAGTGATGACATGGCAAATATGGGGTCCCCATGTGTGCTGACGTGGCTGCCACATTTGTGCCACGTGGCTAAACACTTAACAAAAAAATTAAAAATTAAAAATAATTAATTAAAGAAAAGTTAAAAAAAACAGAAACCCCTCTTCATCTTCCTTACCCGAGCCACCCCTCCATCCCCTCCTCCCCATCCACGACTCCACCTCGTTCCCTCATCACTTATGCACCTGTCTCTAACCATAAATCCCCTTCATCTTCCTTCTCCTATCACCAAATCCTTTGCCCAAAAATTTTCCCACCTTAGGTCGCAGGCAGATCCACCCCCTTCCCCCAAAATTTTCCCCTTCTACATCTTCCTTCTGCCATCGCCAACTCATAGCCCCAATTCTTTCCCACCCCAAGTCGCACGATGCAGCCACCCCTTGCCTATCACTAAGGAATTGCATGAGGTGAGTTCGATTTCAAGCAGCAGTGACGGTATGACGCGACTTGGTGGTGCAGATCCGGCTCGGCTTGGTGTCGATGTTGTAAGTCCTGATTCGCGGAGGCTCGATGTCGTTACAATCGAACATGAGCTTGGTGGGTGGATAAGGGTGGTAAAAAAAGAAGGTCGAATCGTTGGAAAACCAAACGAATGCTGAGGTTAGGGAGAGTTGGTGTTTTGATGAGGAAGATAGGTTTTTGGGGTTTTTATTGGGTTTGAGAAGGAGTTCAAAATTAATGGGAGAAGGGGGTGGGTTCGAGTGGGGAAGATGAAGGGAAATTTGAAATTTTGGGTTAGACGGAGGTGTAGAATTAATGGGGAATTGGGTGGGTGATGGGGGATGGGAGAAGGGGGTGCTCGGGTGAGGAAGACGAAGGGGATTTTTGGTTTTTTAACTTTTCTTTAATTAATTATTTTAATATTTTAAAATTTTTATTACGTTTTTAACCACATCAGCACAAATGAGGACCTTATATTTACTACGTCATTACTTAACGGTTAACTTAATAGATTTTTTAATAGTTGTATGAAATTGAAAAAATAATAATACTAAATGTATGAGATTGAAATATTTTAAAAATAATGTATAAGCTTGTAATTGCACCGAAATCTAAGGGGTTAAAATGTAATTTACCCAAGAAAAAAAAAAGTGTGGTCGGAAAGACGCGGGAATATGGCGAACATTTGGTTGGGTCCCTGTCCCTCTCTTCTTCGTCTCACTCTCACTGTCCCCCAATTCCCTCTCAGATCTCATTCCACCATGTCTACCCTCTGCTCCTAAAGCCCTAACCACCTCGCTGCTCCTCCTCCCCCCCATCCCCAGCCCTACCCCTCCCACGCCCTCCTTGCTAGTCTTCTCAGGCGGGACCGCCTTCAACTGCGTCGTCGAGGAACTCAAGAGTTTCACCACTCGCGTCGCCCATGTCCTTCGTGTTTCCGACGACGGCGGAAGCACGACAGAGATTTTCCACGTTCTTGGTAGTTCCGGTCTTCGTTTTCGATTGGGTTATTTTGTATTTGGGGAATTGCACTACTACAATATTAGCTTTAGGTGGCGGATGATGGTGGCGGATTTAGAAAAATATTGTCGGATAAATTATATTCGACACATTATTTAATTAGTGGCAGATATTAGAAAAATCATGTCGGTTATAACCGACATAAATTCCTGGTGGATAATTACTGACAGATATTATAAAACTCCTATCGGTTATAACCGACAATATTTTTGAATTGGGGAATTTAAAATTTTGGGAGGGAATTTAAATTTTTGGGAGGAAATTTTGGGGGGATTTTTGCCGACATAAATTCCTGGTAGATAATTACTGACGGATATTATAAAACTCCTGTCCGTTATAACCGACAGTAATGAAAATGTTTCTGTCATTTTTTATTAAAAAAATGTTTCTGTAGGTTTTAACCAACATTAATGAAAATATTCCACAATAAAACCCCTCATTCTTCTCCTTGCGTTGGTGCCTTCTCCTTTCCCCCTTCCTTCCCCCTTTTCTCCTCTCATCATTTCCTTTGTATTTTCGATTTTGACAAGGTCTATCTTTTATTTGATTTTTTGTTGTTCATCTCTCACAAATGCAGAGAGGGTAAAAGAGATGCTTAGAGCGCTTTCTTTGTTCTTTTTTTTTTTCATTTTTTTCCCTTTTCAAAATCGAAATGTCTAAATTATTTCACTAATCCTTGCTGGTTTGAACTGCAGGAGTCTGTCTCTGGATTTGAAAGATTATCTGGACTTACAGTTTTGAAGAATTGGAATTCTAGTGTTACACATATTATTGCATCGACAGATGAAAATGGAGCATGCAGAAGAACCCTCAAAGTTTGATGGGTATCTTGGAGGGGAAGTGGATTCTGAGTGTGGAGTGTGTGTTTTACTATTTCTGTTTTAAATGTTCTCCCTCAAATGCTTGGACTTTGCAATTGTAATGGAGTACAGAAGCCGAAATGAGATATTGATATACATGTTCACATTGCTGATAATTCGTTATTCGTCTGTTTGTGCAGGGATTAATGCTTGCACATAAGCAATGAAACTAGTTGATGAGGAGCCTTATGAAATCAACGTTGACATTTATGGAATCAGGGATGGTCTTCGACTTGGTAGACTAAGGCTGCAAAACAAGGTTAGTTTTCCTCGAGTTTAAGGGCTGGTTTGGTATTGCTGTGCTTTGAAAAAAAACTGCTGTGAGAATAAGCGGCTGTGCTGTGAGAATAAGCGGCTGTGAAATAAATCAGCAGAGTGTTTGGTAAACTTTTTTGTAAAGGTGCTTTTGAAAAAAAAAGCAATTTGATAGTGGATCTTTTCATTAAAGGAGCACTGTAGTTCTGTGTGCTTTGAAAAAAAGCAAGTTTTCCAAAGCTACAAATTGCAGCTTCAGCTTTTTCCTTTGATTTCAGCTTATTCTCACAACAGCTTCCAAAATAAGCCATTTTTTTTAAGTTTACCAAACACCAAAAACACTCCCAGCTTTTTTTCATAGGAGCTTTTTTTAAAATCACCTCAACCCCAAACTGGGGCTAACTATCATCACGAAAACTTCATGGATTCACCATAGGCATTGTTAATCTTGTTTAGTACATAAATAGGTTACACACTTATTTTATCAAGGGAGAGATCTTGTCAATTCCTCATCAAGATGAATCAAGAGCATAACTGTAGTAGTGATCGAGAGAAATTTTTTGATGTTTCTTCCAAATTGTTGAGATGAATCATCTGGGTTTTGTTCTAACAATCTTACAAATTTGTTAAGCAATTTTTGTAAAGTCGGAATCGTTGGTTTCGGTTGTGAGGTATCTAATTTGGGTATTTGTGTTTTGCAGGGCAGGGTGGTTGTGGCGAAGGAAGATTAGGATTTACGACGGAGCTCTGGCCATGAACTATCAGCTCTGTCTTTCTCTCTCTAGCTATGAATTGAAAACAAAACTCTGTGTTGATATGGAAAATGAAGCTCGAAATTATTACACAAATGGCGGAAAAAAAAAGTTCGAGTGTGGAGTTTCACTTTCTGGTACATGGCTTTTGAAATAGGGTTGTCTAGACTGCAGAAGAAATCCATGGCTTTTGGAAGAGGGGATGTTCCGAAACTATTTTCTCTCCCTATCCAATGTTCTTCGAGGGGTTCTTGTGATGCAGAAAGTGGCTTATATTTTTTTTATTATTAATAAATTTTCTGTCGGTTTTATCTGACAATAATTCTTTTATTTATTCTTATTAATAACTTCTCTGTCGGTTATATCCGACACAATTTCTGTCGGTTTTAGAGTATTTTTTGTCGAAAAATTCATTTCCTGACGCAGGCAATTCTGTCGCTTATTATATCCGTCACTGCACTCATTTTCTATTGGATTTTGCTTAATTTCTGATAGTATTATACGTTTCTTGTCGGTTTTTAAACCGACACTAATGGGTACTTTTGTAGTAGTGTTGCTTTTCTTATTTGTTGTGGTTATGCATTAGGCGGTCCCGCTGTTGGAGATATACGGTCGAGATGCTTGAGATTGGCTGATAAGAGCACTTTCGAGGCGGTGGCCGTCCATAGATTGCTTGGCCACCGGTTACCGCTGGATTCGCGGCTGGCCAAATCCGAATGGTAATGTTTTTCTACCGTTCTAGTGATTTTACTGCTATTTGTTGACATTTTACAGCACCATTTTCCCTTATAAATGACGTTAGGCATTGCAAATTTTCGATCTTTGGATTTATTAACGGCGAAAAACAAAGAAAAAACCTATCTTTTTAGCAAATGGGGCTTGTACTTTCTTGTATGTTCGTCATTTCGAGGTTATTTGTTGTTCTGTTATCCTAAATTATCCTTATTTACTTGGTTTGTGGTACTGTGGTTGGGTATTGAGTAACAGTCTGCTGAGTTGAGAATTTGACAGGTATGATATTGTGGAAGGAGAACATTCTCTATGGATGGGAGTATCGAAATTCGAAACCATTCAGGGAAACCATTCGAGTTTTTATGGCTTATTTTCAGAATCAAGTGAGTTATCGGGCGAGAGTGCCTAAACCATGTTGTTTAATTTTGTTTATATGCTCAACTCTTCTGAACTTTCTTCAATTGTCTATTTCAAATTCAGATTCTCCGACGATCAGATGAATTTGTTAAGGATACAATAGGAGTACCAGTCAATGATGTACCTGATTAGGAACTTACTTAGCTGTTAAGCTATGATTGATTAGAGTCTGTTATAATTAGAATCTGTAAAGCTCTTTATACTGGTTGTAGTACACACAGTTTGTAAAGAATTGAATAGAATCATTTCTCCACAACAACTTCTCTCTCCTAGCATTTCTCTCACTACAATTCTCTCTCTCTTTACTCCTAGCATTTCTCTCACAGAGCTATGAGTTTCTACATGGTATCTTCGCCATAGTCCACCGACATCGATCCCTTGCTTCCATTTTCTTGCATTTTCTCACCTTCCAAACAGATCTTATATGCCCTAATTTCCTTGAATTTCTTCTTTCCTCTCTCAATTTCTTCTTTTTCTTGCCATACTCTGATAACGATGACACACGTTGCGAACTCCTCTTCTCCGGCTGCTTTTTCTGGCTCTCATGGCGATATCACAAATTCGTCAATTCCATCTCTCTCTTCGATTACTGTTCAGAACATCACTGGTATGGTTGCGACGAAACCCAATCATCACAATTAGTGTCGGTTATAATTAGAATCTGTAAAGCTATTTATACTGGTTGTACACACAGTTTGTAAAGAATTGAATAGAATCATTTCTCCACAACTTCTCTCTCTACGTTTCTCTCACTACAATTATCTCTCTCTACTCCTAGCATTTCTCTCACAGAGCTATGAGTTTCTACATGGCATCTTCGCTATAGTCCATTGACATTGATCCCTTGCTTCCATTTTCTTACATTTTCTTTCCTTCCAAACAGATCTTATATGCCTTAATTTCCTTGAATTTCTTCTTTCCTCTCTCAATTTCTTCTTTTTCTTGCAATACTCTGATAACGATGACACACGCTACGAACTCCACTTCTCCGACTGCTTCTTTTGGCTCTCATAACGATGTCACAAATTTGTCACTTCAATCTCTCTCTTCAATTATTGTTCAGAACATCACTGGTATGGTTGCGACGAAACTCAATCGTCACAACTACATTACCTGGCGCAGTCTCTTCATCCCCGTTCTAAAACGATTCAAACTTTTAAGGCTTGTTACTGGAATTGATGTGTGTCCTTCTCAATTTGTGATTAATTCTTCTGGATCTCGAGTTCTTAATTCAGCGTATGAGACTTGGTGCGAAAGAGATCAAATCTTGATGATCAGATCTTCTTCCATTGACGGTTGGCTTAGAGCTAAGGCTGGAATTCATAAGCTAAAAGTTTTCACTGCCACAAAACATTTTCTTCCAGTTTCTATTGATCCCCTTGCTTGTCTTCCTCCAACACCTACAACATTTCTGCAAGCTTCAAAGAATCCAAATTGGATGGCTGCCATGAAGGATGAGTTTCAAGCCTTGCAGTCCACTGGGACTTGGGATTTGGTTCCTTTCCATCCAAACTTAAATTTAGTCGGTTGCAAATGGGTGTTTAAAGTCAAACATAAGCCTGATGGCTCCATTGAACGGTATAACGCCCGTTTGGTGGCAAAAGGATTTCATAAACAAGAGGGCATTGATTTCTTTGAAACTTTTAGTCCTGTTGCTAAGCCTACAACTATACGTATTCTGTTATCAATTGATGTTTCATATAACTGGTTTATACATCAGCTTGATGTAAGTAATGCTTTCTTACATGGTACTCTAAAAGAGGATGTGTATATGATCCAGCCAGACCCAACTAAACCACGACATGTTTGCAAGCTTAACCGGTCCCTCTATGATTTAAAACAGGCTCTTCGGGCCTGGTATGAAGCCTTCTACACATCAATTCTGTCATTGGGGTTCTTCTATTCATCTTCTGACACCAGTTTATTTATAAAAAAGGATTCTTCCATCACTTTTATTTTAGTATATGTTGACGATATTATCGTTACTGGTAGTTCAAGCTCAGTATGTCAATCTATTATTGCTCAATTACAAACTATGTTTAATGTGAAGGATTTGGGCGATCTTCATTACTTTCTGGGCATTGAAGTCCACAGATCTCCTAAAAGGGTTGTTCCTCCACCAATCCAAATATGCCCTTGATCTGTTAAAGAAATTGATATGATTGGTGTCAAGCCTTACTCCACTCCTATTGGTTCTGCTAAGTTAGATCACTTCGACACTCTTCTACCTGATCCTACATTTACAGATCAACTGTTGGAGCTTTACAATACCTAACTTGGACACGCCTTGATTTGGCTTTTGCTGTGAATCAAGTATGTCAGTACATGCATTCTCCTTACAGATCCATTTGTAAGCAATCAAACAGATACTTCGATATTTGAAGGGTACTCTTGATGTTGGTATATGGTTTACACAAGGCTCTCAATGTCTCATTGTGTGGTCTAATGCAGATTGGGTTGGCTGTCCTGTTGACAAAAGATCAACAAGTGGTTACTGTGTTTTTTCTTGGTCCTAATCTAATCTCATGGAGTGCAAAGAAACAGTGCATTGTTGCCTGGTCTTCAACTGAGGTTGAGTATCGGTCTCTCGCCAATACAGCTGCTGAACTTAGTTGGGTTTGCTAAATCCTGTAGGATATCTCTTTCCTTCTTCTCCAGACTCCTGCAATTTTTTTTACAACAAGAGCGCAATCGCACTAACTTCTAATCCTGTCTTCCATGCTTGGAGTAAACATGTGGAAATTGACTACCACTATATTTGAGAAAAGGTTCTTGGTGGCCACTTCCGTGTACATCATGTAGCTTCTCCTTTTCAACTAGCCAATATTTTTACTAAATCCTTGCCATCTGCTCGTTTTGTAGAGTTAACTTCCAAGCTTTCAGTTAGAGCTCCTAACTTTAGCTTGAGGAGGTGTGTTAATGATACAATGGGAGTACCAGTCAATGATGTACTTGATTAGGAACTTACTTAGCTGTTAAGCTATGATTGATTAGAGTCGGTTATAATTAGAATCTGTAAAGTTATTTATACTGGTTGTACACACAATTTGTAAAGAATTGAATAAAATCATTTCTCCACAACAACTTCTCTCTCTAAGTTTCTCTCACTACAATTCTCTCTATCTCTACTCCTAGCATTTCTCTCACAGAGCTATGAGTTTCTACAGAATCATTTTGCTTCAGTAATGGCAGGTGTGAAGTCTTTACATAGCTATGACTTAGTGTATTTCTATTTTGTTGTTTCTGGTACTTAAATGGAATTCAGTAATCCACTTCGTTCAACTAAGAAATGTTTTTAAAGGTGTACTAAGAAATGCTTTTGAAACTCACATGGTTGTGTATATACGCTTGAGCATCTTCTGAAATCGTAACTAATTCCAATGGTTTCCTCATTGACTAGGTCTTCCTTGCTGCAAACCCAGTTTTCCTGGATCAGTTACGTAATGTGGACTGTGTGGTTTATGCCATGTGATCCTTCTTCACTTGTATTTGCCCATCACTGGTAACATTTCATTTTTTCGGGTAATATTTTTCCAGATGTGAGAAACCTGTATACTCATAATTTTCATTTGCTATACCACATTCTTTAGGTATTGACTGGCATTGGGGAGATTATATCTTCAAAGTCCAACCTGAAGGTGCATATTCATCACACTTTTGAGTTACATGTTACCTGATATACTAATACTCCAGATTCGCCTTATATATATTATTGAAACTAGTTTGTATGGATGGGTTGTATGTATGAGTTGTCATCCTCACCATAGCTTGTCATTCACCTTACATCAACCTTTCTCCATAGCTTGTCATTCACCAATCACTTTCCATAGCTTGTCATTCACCTTACATCAACCTTTCTTACTTGCTTGTAAAAGCTTCTTTACTTGTAATTTGGTTTTTTCTTTTCCACTTGTTAGGGCAAAGGGATTGTGTTTGTGTAGTTATCCGACAATCTATTGTAGCTTTCTTTTGGCTCTCTACTTCATAATGAAATATACAACAAATATTGAAATCAAAACTCAACATGGTATCAGAGCAGGAACCATAGGGTTCTGACTCTGTTCATTTTTTTTTTACTTTTTCATTTGCTCATCATCGATTGAGATGGCAGAAGAAAATGTGTCTAGTGCCGACAATGCCTTATCCTCTTCCCCAAACTTAACCCAAAGGGTTGAGAACAATCCAAATCAATGACTCTGCTCGGTGCTACTGAACGAGTTTAACTACCTTCCTTGGTCAAGAGCTGTGTCACTTGCTCTAGGAGGAAGATCGAAGCTAGGGTTTATCAATGGAAGCTCTGAGCCCCCAGAATCCACTTCACCAACTTACGATGCATGGCATGCTACTGATCAGCTGGTCATGTCCTGGTTACTTAACTCTATGGAGCCAAAACTGTCTAAGCTTTTCAGCTACTCAGAGTCTTCCCTTCTCCTATGGGAGTCTGTTAAAGATATATATGACAGCCAAAACAACTTAGTTCACATCTTTTAATTGAAGAAGAGTGTGGCTAGTTTAAAGCAAGGTGATCACTCATTTGTTCAACACCTTGGAAGTATGGAATCCATGTGGAATGAACTTGATATGTATCGTCCACACATGACTGATTCCGCTGTGCTACTGAAGAGGGTTGATGAAGACAAGGTGTTTCAACTCTTAGCAAGCTTGGGAGCGGAGTATGAAGACCTGCGTAGTCACTTGTTAATGACTCAAGAGCTGCCCTCTTTTACCAATGTGTGTCATGCAGTCTAAAGAGAGGAAACTCGACGAAGAGTGATGAACGTTGAGCCCAAATCCAACTCTGAAGCTAGGGTTTTCACGAAAAATCACAAAGCAACTGGTGATAGGGTGCTTGGCAAGAAAGCAGACTGGAAATGTTCTTATTGCAACATGAAGGGACATTTGAGAGAAAAATGTTGGATTCTTCATCCGGAGTTAAAGCCTAAGTTTGATAGGGAAGGTAGGATGATCAAAGATGGGAAGGGTGGAGTCATTCCAAAAGCATTTCATTCAGCTTGTTCCTCAACTGATGGGATGGCCAATTTCTAAACAAATCTTGTGTCCTTGATCAACGAATTTGCTGTTTTTACTTGAAAAGAAGCAATGAAGCACTGAACCTGATGAAATGACACCTGAAAACCCTACTGCAATGCTAGGGAAATTTGTTGGATTCTTGGCTGACTCGGAGAACACATCGAAAGGCAATATTCCAGGTATTATCAGTGCCATTGCCACTGCTCTTAATGCAAATGTTACACATGATTTTTGGATTATTGACTCTGGTGCCACTGATCATATAACTAATAAACCCTCTAGTCTCCACGATTTTCAAAGAACTATTGATCCAATTCATGTATCTGTTGCAAATGGGAAAGGGGAACCTATTCTAGGGAAATGAAAGATTAGATTGCTAAGTGAGCATACTGATTCCATTGCTCTCTATGTACCTTTTTTTCCTTTTCAGCTCTCGTTAATAGGAAAAATCACAAAAACCTTAGATTGTCTTGCTATATTTTCCCCTCACAATGTTGTGTTTCAGGACCGAGTTACTCAGAAGAAGATTGGTGAAGGGTTCTTCTTGAATGAACTTTACTATCTCTCAAAGGAGTCCAATTTTGTCAAAAAGCTCAGTGTCAACTTAAGTCAAGTTCAGGAACACCAACTCTGGCATCAACGCCTTGCCCATCCCTCAGAACATGTGATGACCAAGTTGTTTCCCTTTTTTTTGTAAAAACACACTGGAGTGTGAAACTTGTCAAATGTCAAAAGCCACTAGACTTCCTTTTGTTTCCTCTAATTCTAGAACTAGTAAACTTTTTGAGCTTGTTCACTCTGATATTTGGGGTCCTTCTCGTGTAGAATCCTTTGATAGGTATAGATATTATGTTACATTTATTGATGACTATTCTAGAGTAACCTGGTTGTATATTTAAAACTTAAAAGTGATTTGTTTGATGCTTTTAAGGACTTTCACAACCTAATCACCAATCAATTTTCATCTAAGTTATATATGTTAAGATCAGATAATGGTACTGAGTACACTTCCAATAACATGAGTAATTACTTGAGCAATCATGGCATTTTGCATCAAACTAGCTGTGTTGGTACACCACAACAAAATGGTGTGGCAGAGAGAAAGAATTGAGATTTATTGGAGAAGACTCGATCACTTATGATCCAAATGAATGTTCTTAAGAAATTTTGGTCTCAAGCCCTACTCACTGCCACGTACATCATTAATAGACTGCCAACTCGGGTGTTGAATACTAAATCTCATTTTGAAGTCATAAAGGGCATGCCTATAAACTTGTCTCACCTCAGGACCTTTGGTTGTACTTGTTATGTGCACATTCAAGCTCTCCATCGTGACAAACTCGACCCTCGAGCTGCCAAATATGTGTTTATGGGATACGCCAATTCTCAAAAGGGTTACAAAGTGTACAACTCTAACACGGGGAAGCTGGCAGTCTCTAGAGATGTGCGATTTGATGAATATTCACCTTATTTCCACAAAGGGTTGGAGATTAATGCTAATATGGAAGATCTTATAGACCTATTTCCACTACCTATTCCAGCAGAAATTCATGAAGTCACTCATGCTCATATCAGCACTGATAATTCTCAACTCACTGAGAGTGTAATTGATGCAGTGCCAAGCTCCTCTGGACCATCAGAAGCTCAACCAAATCAACAAGCTATAAGTGCACCAAGAAGAAATCCTACACAAGATAGACATCCACCATTGAGGTTACAAGAGTATGTTACTTACACTGCAAGACATCCTATCTCTGCAGCCATTTCTTATCATAGATTCTCATCTTCTCATACTTCTTTCCTTAACAAATTGTCCCACACAAATTGTCCCATATGTCTGAGTGGCAAAATGCTATGACTAAAGAGCTTCATGCTCTGAATGACAACCAAACATAGAGTGTGGTGGATCTTCCAAATGGCAAGAAGGTCGTGGGAAGTAGGTGGATATATAAGACCAAATTCAGCTCCAATTGAAGCATTGAAAGACACAAAGCACGGTTAGTAGCTCAAGGCTTTACTCAAACTTATGACATTGACTATAAGGAGACCTTTGCTCCTCTTGCCAAAATGAACACAGTGAGGGTATTGTTGTCTGTGGCAGTCAATAATGCATGTCCCTTATTCCAAATGGATGTGAAGAATGCATTTCTTCATGGGGATCTTGAAGAAGAAGTGTACATGAAGTTGCCTCCTGGTCATCCAAGAGAAAATGAACCCAACAAGGTCTGTAAACTTCATAAAGCCATATATGGTCTCAAACAATCCCCTCAAGCTTGGTATTCGAAGCTTAGTTCAGTTCTTGAAGCTGTAGGGTTCAAAAGGAGTCATGATGACTCTTCTTTGTTTGTTCGAAGTAGTATTGCTGGCAAATTGGTTGTGCTTATATATGTTGATGACCTAATTATTACAGGTGACAATATAAGTGAAATCAAGACGCTTAAGCAGTCATTTCACCAAAAAATTGCCATTAAAGACTTGGGGCCCTTGAAATACTTTCTTGGAATTGAGGTGGCTACCTCTTCAAAGGGATTGTTCTTGAATCAAAGAAAGTATGTTCTCGATCTTCTAGATGAAGCTAACATGATGGAATGTAAACCGGCTCGGACACCCCTAGCTAGCAAACTTCAGTGGCATGAAAAATGTGAACCTTTCTCGGACCCTAGTGTTTATCAGCGAATGGTTGGGAAACTTATTTATCTCACCATTACTAGGCCTGATATCTCATATTCAGTTAGCCTAACCAGTCAGTTCATGCACTCTCCTACTCTAGTTCACTGGGAAATCGTCAAAAGAATACTTCGATATCTCAAGGGCTCAGTAGGAAAGGGGATAATTATGAAGAACAATGGATCAAATCACATCTTGGCCTACACAAATGCTAACTGGGCTGGAAATGCCCTTGATCAAAAATCCACAACAGGTTTTTGCACATTTGTTGGAGGGAACCTTGTCACTTGGAAGAGCAAGAAACAAACTGTTATTGCTCGATCTAATGCCGAAGCTGAGTATAGGGTTATGGCATAAACAACCTGTGAACTCATATGGTTGAAAGGTCTTCTTTCCGAGCTCGGATTCACAAGCATAGCACCTATGTCCTTGTATTGTGATAACCAAGCTGCCATGCACATTGCCTCCAATATAGTATTCCATGAAAGGACCAAATATATTGAAGTTGATTGTCATTATATTCGTGCTCAAGTTCAATCCAAGGTGATAGACACCGTGTTCACACACAGCCACGATCAACTTGCTGATTTATTCACAAAAGCACTAGACTCTACTCAGTTTCAGCGTTTGTTGTGCAAGCTTGGATCAATCAATTCCCTTGATCCAGCTTGAGGGGGTGTATTGAAATCGGTTTGTATGGATGGGTTGTATGTATGAGTTGTCATCCTCACCATAGCTTGTCATTCACCTTACATCAACCTTTCTCTATAGCTTGTCATTCACCAATCACTTTCCATAGCTTGTCATTCACCTTACATCAACCTTTCTTAGTTGCTTGTAAAAACTTATTTACTTGTAATTTGGTTTTTGCTTTTCCACTTGTTAGAGCAGATTTTAGGGATTGTGTTTGTGTAGTTATCCTACAATCTATTGTAGCTTTCTTTTGGCTCTCTATAAAAGTTGCCTTCACTCTCTTGTAATCTTCATAATGAAATATACAACAGATATTGAAACCAAAACTCAACAGATATTAACAAACACATTATTTATTTTCCATGTCAAGTTACATGTTGAGTTGATTCAGTTTGTTCCGATAATAGGTGCTTTTGTTAACTGCTATTACAGATGCACTAAATCGAACATATGGAAATCGTCATAAGAGTCTTGAAAACCTTGTAAGTTAGTGGCTTTTTCAGCCTGAATTTACTCTGAAACTGGTGCACGACTATTAGATGCATCGTCATTTATTTATATAGGGAACATGTAATGTAATTTGTGACAAGTTTCTGTTTCAATGCAGCCCGGTCAATACATCAATACCGTATTAGTCTGTATTAGCTCCCAAAGGTGGTGAGATTCCTGTAGATGTTCAATGCTTGGCTGCCCAAGGAATCTTTAATCTGGGCAGAGTCCAAATGCTCTTTCTGTTGGTTCCATAAATTAAAACTTTCACTTTTTTCGACTGCTTGATGGCCGTGAATATGTTTGTTTCGTTACCTGAAAATCAAAGCTCAGACTCGAGTGACCTTTTGCAGATCGTTGTCAATTCCACATGTGATCCAAAATACGCAAGTACAAATCTCACGGTAGTCCAATGACGGAGCTCAATGGAGCAAGCATAATTAACCCTCATGGGGCTATTGATTTCTGTTCACTAGTTCATTTTTCATGAGGTACATCTTCCATAGCAAAGCAATCTTTTGACAGCATCACTCCGTATCAACTAGTAATTCATGTTTCCCAAAATTTGACCATGTTTGATTTCAGCCGTACATTCAAGCTTATTTCGGCTGTTAGGCGATCCGCGTTGCAAGGATATACGAGGGAAGTTGCTAGTGTTATTTGACGTCTGATGTACACAATTGACTTAGATGTTCATGAACTGAAACTTTTCGGCATGCTTGAGACACTAGATTATGTATTAAACAATTTGTGTATATATGGTTCATGTACGCCAATTTTGCTGTAATTTGATGAGAAATTATTTCTTTAAAAATTCTCCAGGGCCTAGTTGTTCATCTCCGAGTTAAACAAATGCCAATTCTAGTTGGGGCGAATCATCTTTAAGTATTTTGACAATTAAATTCTTACCTAAAATTGGGGATACAGAATTTCCCTATATCCTCCTTTTGGTCGAAATTATATAGAGTCGTAAGGATATATCCCCGATGGGTGTTTTTGTACCAAAAGAAGTAAAGTACAAGGTTTCCAAGCAAACACGAAATTTAAGCCCAATTCAAAAGAATATTGGTTCGTTAATCCAGGCTCGAGTGATTGTCTCTTGAAAGAGAGATTCTCTTTTGCAATGGGTGCATAGTCAATGGCAGTCACCATCAACTTACCCACTCAAGGAATTTTAATTGACGATGTGGTGATGGTTAGTAATTTTTTAATGTACCTAGTAGTTTAAAGAAATAATTTCTCATTAAAAAATAGTCAATATATTAGGCTCTGCCTACTCCCCATTTTTTCCTAAGAAAAATCTAAGGCTGCAACATGAAACCCACGAACCAAATTGCTCGCCTCCGTTGCACCGATAGGCTGGAGGGGTCTTCATTGTGTGAGAGCAGATCTTGATCGTCCTGATCTATATTATTGTTGGGGGTGGACCACCATTGGGAGGTGGGCCAATATTGGAGCCCACGAGGGAAGAAGCATCATTTGCTTGTCTCTGATTGTTACTCCCACGTTTTCTCCAAATATCCATCCATGCAAATGTTGAAGTAGATGTACAGATAAAACATTATTTTAAATATAAATGTTTATATTTACACTATACCTAATTACTTACTCTATCGGTGATACAGAGAATGTCGTAAGGTTTGCTAGAGCATGCCCTACGTATACAACTTTAAAATCATGAATTCCGAGCACATTCTCAAATTGCATTTCGAGGCTAATACAATAGACATGCGATATGAGCAGTAATCTATTCTCAGGAATGGGATTGTCAACATCAAAAGGTAGAATCACTTGTTCCAAATTCCTCACAATGTCCGAATGATGGACTCTATAACTTGTCTGTACTATTGGTATGTCAATAAGGAATTCGTGCACTCCAAACACCATTATTGGTGTTGACATACCAACACTACATACAAGATATAGAGTCCATCCTTCGGACACTGCAACGAACTTGGGACAAGTGATTCTACCCATTGATATTGACAATCCCATTCCCGAGAACATATTACCGCTCATATCGCATGGCTACTGTATTAACCTCAAAATGCAACTCGAGAATGTGCTCAGAATTCATGATTTTAAAGTTGTATACGTAGGGCATGTTCTAGCAAACCTTACGACATTTCCTCCACTGCCGGTAGAGCAAGGAATTAGGTATAGTGTAAATATAAACATTTATATTCAAAATAATGTTTTATTTGTACATCTACTTCAACATTTGCATGGATGGATTATTGGTGAATTTGGAGAAACCGTAGGAGTAACAATCAAAGAAAAGCAAATGATGATTCTTCCCCGCAGGGGCTCCCACTATTGGCTCACCTCTAAATGGTGGACCACCCCCAACATAATCTAGATCTGGACGATCAAGATCTGCCCACAGACAGTGAGGATACAGTTGAGGACCCATTTTAGCCTATCTGTGGAAGGCAAGGAAGATGTAAGAACCCACATCACCTAGGGGAATGATCCTTATATGTATATTCTTATCCCTACCTAGCACGAGACCTTTTGGGAGCTCACTGGCTTCGGGTTCCATCGGAACTCCGAAGTTAAACGAGTAGCGTGCAAGAGCAATCCCATGATGGGTGACCCACTGAGAAGTTCTCGTGTGAGTTCCCAGAAATAAAACCGTGAGGGCGTAGTAGGGGCCCAAAGAGGACAATATCATGCTACGGTGGTGGAGTGAGCCTGAGATGTGATGGACCTCATGCCGGGATGTGACAGAAGAGGGCAGAATAGAGACGGCTTGTTACAACCCGTCTATTAGTTACTATATTTCATTTTCTGAAAATTGTGAAATGTCCAACATACTCCCATAGGAGAAAGTGTTGACTTGTGTTGACAATTGAACTTGTGACACGTATGTCTTAGCACATGTTCGTAGTACTCGTCGATATGAGCGCAAGTGGGGAGGAAAAGATTTTACAAAACACAAATGTTAAGGGTATTCTTGTAATTCTAAATTTAAAGAGTAAAGCTAATAATATTATAAAATGTTAACTAAAGTAAAGAAAAAAAAAAGAGGCTTCTGGACAAGGGAAGAGAAGAAAAATAAAGGGGGGGATTACAAGGGATCGCATGGCCCTGAAACTATGAATCAGGAAAAGGGGAGAGAGAGATGGAGGAAGCAAAGGGATTGGTGAAGCATGTACTGCTGGCAAAGTTCAAAGACGGAATCTTAAAAAGTAAGATCGAATAACTCATCAAAGGTTACGCCAACCTCGTCAATCTCATCGAACCCATGAAGTCTTTCAACTGGTAATAACAATAATAATACCAATTTCCAAGTTACTTGTAATCTAATCTCTCTTAAATCTTAATGTTCTTGCTTGGAAATTCTTTCTTTTTTTTTTTGTCGGAAATTTACTGATGGAGCTACCAATTTAAAGACTTGAATCTCGATGCATTTTTCTGTTTGATTAATTATAATTGAAATCGAGGTTATAAACATGAATTCTGAATTGTGTGGAGGCATTCTGGAAATGTAATTGAACCATGAGAGTATAGGTTATAAGTTACAGAAAAACTATGTTTTAAGTGGCCTACTTTGGCTCTTGTGTTCTGTCTTTATGAATTCCTTTTGAGCGTATAGTACGTGGTTTAAAACTAGACATGTTTGTGATCTAAACCCATTTAATTTCACATAATTCCATTGAGTATTGATATGTCAAAATCATATTCAAACTGGAGTCCCGAAACTGCCAGATAGCAGCAAATACTGGGTTTTGAGACTCTATTTTGTAACTTGCATAACTTTCAACTTAGAACTCCGTTATCTACAAATCTTTTATGCTTCTAAAGTACACAAAACAAGCTTCGAAACCCATATAAGTTTACATCAACCGATATAGTTATGGGTGTTCAAAGAACCATATTCTTGTACAATTATAAGCTCAATGACTTAATGTATCAGTGCATTTATACCTATTGAAACACATAAATCATTTATGGTCCATAATTATTTCCATTCAAACGTATTGGCAATGATGAAGTTATTATAAATCAACCAAAATGGCATTTGAATTAGGTGCTGTTAAATTAGTAATTCCAAGTACTTTGACTAGAATTAAAGTTCATGTCATGCAATTAATAATGTCTTATGTTTGTGAAAATGGAATTGGCCATGTTGAAGGATCCATGTACTAGTGACTAAGAGCAATGCTTAGGAATCTAGTTAAGGGAAATACGACAGACATTTACGGAATTTGATTATACTAAACTTCGTGGAATCTTATATTATTATTTATCTCATTGGTTGATTACTCTTGTTGGGTGTTATTTGATCGTGTGGACAATTGGATGACTTGGATGGTAATTGAATTATTGCTTTTGTTGGATGTCTATTGGTGTAATTATGGTTTGCTTTGATATGAGATGGATTTCTTATCAGATTTTGTAATAACGTGAGGTATGTTAGGGAACTACGAATGGCTTGATCCCTTCTTAGGGTACGTAGACAGTCTAACGCTAAGGTTAGATGCAACCATGAAATAAAAGGAAATGACTGCGTGGTTGAATCATTGATTGTGTTTTGATTGTTTTGGAGGCAAGACATGATGGATAAACAGGGATGTGATGACATCACATGTCGATCGTGGACATATGTCAGGATCAAGGAGTGACACGGCAAATTGGTTTGTGGGTTTCATGTTGCAGCCTCATATTTTTCTTAGGAAAAAAATCGGGAGTAGGCAGAGCTTAATTTTCGTATTCCTAGTTTAAGTTTGTTTCATTATTTACAGTTTCTAGATGCATTTAATTTCCTAGGTTGTCACTTAGTTTAAAAAAAAAAAGAATAAAAAAGGAAAAAAAAAAACCATACAAAAAAAAAAAAAAAAAAAGAACATTTGTTTTTCCTTGTTTTATTTTCATAAATAAATTTAGTTTATAGTTAGTGTCGTCTACATTCTACTTCTGATATTCAAAACTTGGTTTTTGGAGGCAGCAAACAAGATAATCAAGAATTCATGCACATAGATTATTTAAGACTGGATCATGAACCCAGCAGCAAGTCTACATTAACATAAACCACATTCCTATGCTAGGCTGAAAAATAATGTCGAAATTACGAAGATCTTGCAGAATCACGGATCCAGTCACAAAAGTGTACATCTGACCATTTGTTTTCTGGGATGCGGTTCTTTGATATGTGGAAACAGAATAAATAGAAATCACATATCCACATACCACAAAACTGATCTCCATCATATTTACCAGATCTACATTCTTGCAACCAAATCTGTGACCCGAATTGCAGGGATAGAACGTTATACCTTTCTGTTTTGCTGCGCGGCCATTCTTCAGTGTCGGCCATTGTGGATCTCAAGCATTCCTACAACAAATCACTCAGGTTGATGAGTTACTGAGGAACCATAATTATTTTCTGCAGATCTATAACTTTCACATTTGAGGATGCCGTGTATGCCATTATTTGAGTTTGGAGGTTGGTTCTTTAACTGTCCTCCGCAAGGTTCAAGCCCAAATGGTCCGCATACATGTTCAGGGTTGATCCAGGTGTTCATTCACTTTTATTACTGGGAGACAGCGTGTTCTAAGTCCAACATTCTCATCCCCATACAGATCTAAGCCTTTTATTTATTTTTGTCCAGCAATTACAATCTCCGTTTATTACTTATATTAAGTTTGGGGTGATCTCACAGATAATACATGCATGCCATACTCATTTGCATAAGTTTACACATCCAACATGGATTCCAGCAGAGATGAGGGTTTATAGCTTTCAGATCCGAAGTCGTGGCTACTTGGAAACTTGTTTTGCCATTTTGTCGACTGAATCTGCAACTCGAACATTTTTTTTTCTCTCGGATATATCACGACTCTAAGTTTCCTACACAGATAGCAGAGCCATATGAGTACATGCAGAACCCAACTACATTATTTTTTACAGATCGGAACCCAAGACACATCAACACATGATATTTTACCTTCTCTTTCCACGGATCTGTTGACTCCAAGAGGTTCTCCTTTATTTTTTTTTCTTCCTTGCCATCAACGGATCTGGGAGTTTTACCTGCAGATGGAGGAGTCTTGGACGCTTTGCTATAGATCTATGAAGGCTGGGTTTTAGTGTGTTTCTTTTGTGTGGATCCGCAAGCCCACGCAGAAAAAGTATATGCATGTGTTAGTTCTTTGATTTTTCCATGACAATAAACCCAATGGAGCTCAATGGCAGCCAGGAGAGATTTTTACCTTTGGGGACTTGGGTTTCGCAGCCGAGATCCAGTAAGGATGATGAACTCCATGACTGGGACCGAGAACATTGGAGGCATGTTTGAAGTTTAATTTTGGGAGACCTAGAGAACATGGAGGAGCGGCTAGAGTGAAGGGTTTGTGTTGATGTGAGAGAGGATGGTAAGGCATTGAAGTAGAAATGGAAGAGGAGGCGCGGCTAGGGTTCTCCATTATAGGGAAATGAGAACCATTTTTTGTTCTTAAAGAAAGAGAGGGCTGAGAGACATGTGAGACCTCTCTCAGTTTCTAGAGAGAGAAAGACCTAGGTTTTCTAAATATAATCAGAAATGAAGGAGAGAGAGGCTGTTTTGAAATAGAGAGAGGGAAAGCCGTTAGGCTCTGGGCTGCATCCCATTACAATCCATCTCATAGGCTTTTGTATTTTTGGGCCTCTGTTTGAGGGCTGGGTTCCAGAGCCAACGGATTGTGCTACCGAGGGTGAGAATCTAGGCTGCCAAGTTTATAGGAGTGTGATATCTATACACCTCATTTTACTTTTCACACATATTTTTCGTGGGAGAATAATTCAGAAATAAACAGAATAACAGAAATAAACAGAACTTGAAATTCACAATTTTTATTTCACAAAAGGTACTTGCTATACAGAATGAAAAGTATACAATAAATACAGAAAATAATATAAGAATGTCAACGGTACTAACTTGATTACAGAAGGTAGAGGCTAGCGTAAAAGCTATGTCCTTCGAACAGTAATTCCGTCTCACTCTTGTGCTTGTGGTTCTATAACGTCTGCTCGACCAGGATACAATTACCTAATCCTATAACCCGCACTGGATTAAAGAATTCTAGCGAATTGCTTTGTGTGTTTACTCTTTGTGGATAGTTTGTACGGAAGAAAAGGAAGAAGAAAAAGATGATTCATTTGGATACCATGGATTGTAGATATAAAGGCTGTTTCACACCCTTTCAAATACCAGTTCAGTGTATTTGAAGGTTCACAACTCTTTTCTAAGAGCTGTGTCTTTTAATCAAAACGTTTTTAATTAATAATAAATTAATTAAAAACTTAATCCGAAAATTAAAATTAATGAATCAGATTAATTTTAAATTTCAAGGACAAGCCCAAGGCCCTTGTCTTGATTAATTAATATTAATTGTATTTAGGCTATATTATACAAGCCTAATCCACACAACCATAAAGCCCAAGCCTTCAATCCATTTCCAAATGGCCCACATTCTAATTACTAGACTAAAGCACTAAATCTATATAAAGGCCCTTGAGAATCTTGTTTTCCCCAATGGGACAAGAGTCTCAAAACTTCCAACAATACCCCACATTTTCTGTCGTCGGATGGATGAATGGAAGAAAATCAATGGACAGAAATTATCAAAGGGTGTGTGGATAGCACACCCCAAGTTTATAATGCACAACAAAGGCATTGCTGCTGAAGCACACTACCGTTACAAAGGAGTTGATGGAACTTGCAACAAGAACGAGGCCAATATGTTGGTATATGGTCCAGCCCATGATCAATGTTCTAGATTATTCTAGTAAGCAAGAAATGAGGCTGGAGCTTGCTAGACAATTCTAGCATGTTATTAAGTTGATGGAAAAAGCTAGAGAGTACTAGCTTCCTTGGTTGCAAATGGAAAGATCTAGAAGCTACAAGTATATGGCTAGTCTAGATTTTTCTATACTAGAGGTTTGAAGAAGGAACTAGAAACTAGTAGAATGCCAAGCCCTCACCTATAAATATGGGTGTGATGTAACCAATTGAGAACCAAGAGTGAGTAGCAAAGGATCAAGTCCAAAGCTAGAGTTCCACTCCAAGAGTGAGAGTGAGAGTGTTCCACTACACATTGTGTGAGTGAAGTTTAGAGTGATAGAAAGTGTGTGTTATACTTTCTTGTATCCATCAAGCCTTGTCTTTGGCTTGGTAAGACTACTCTTGTTGTATTCATCTTTTTTCATATAGTGAAGATTCCTTGTTTGGTGGACGTAGGCATAAATTGCCGAACCACATAAATTCTTGGCGTCCATTTTCTACTTTACCTTGTGCATTCTCTATCTTGTGTAGTACCGACATTCCTAACAAGTGGTATCAGAGCCAGGTTGGCTCGTACTGCGAGATGGAAGGAAGTGGCACTATGATCAAACTCACCAACTCCAATTGGGTAACATGGAAGCCAAGGATGGAGGACATTCTCTATTGCAAGGATCTGCATGAGCCAATTGAAGGAGATGCCGTTAAGCCAGAGAGCATGTCCGATGCCGAGTGGAAGAAGATGAATCGCAAGGCTATTGGCACAATTAGACAATGGGTGGACGATAGTGTTTTTTCACCATGTGTCTAATGAAACCAATGCTCGCGAGTTTTGGACAAAGCTTGAGTCCTTGTTCGAGAAGAAGACTCCAGTTAAGAAAGCCTTCTTGATCAAAGAGCTCATCAATGTGAAGTACAAGGATGGTTTAAGTGTAGCAGAACACTTGAACAATTTCCAGAATATCATCAACCAGTTGGCTACTATGAAAATGACGATCGAGGACGAGCTACAAGCGCTCTTGTTACTTGGATCCTTGCCAGACAGTTGGGAGACCTTTGTGGTGAGTATAAGTAACTCTGCTTCTAATGGTGTTCTTACCCTTGATAATGTTAAAAATAGCATGCTCAATGAAGAAACAAGGAGAAAGACTTCTGGCACAGATAGCAGCCAAGTATTTGTCACAGAGAACCGCGGAAGAAGCAAGAGTAGAGGGCCTAGAGGTCATGGCAGGAGTCCTAGCCGATCCAAGTCAAGGTTCAGGGGTGCATGCCACCATTGTGGCAAAGAAGGCCATATGAAGAAAAATTGTCGAGTTTGGAAGAGAGAGCAAAGGGAAGGAAACAATCAGAAGAAAGATGATACTGGCAATACCACCGCTGTCATATGTGGTGATGTACCAGAAATATTGTCTGTTGGTGAATGTCTGCATATGGGCAACTCTGACAGAGACATTGAATGGATCTTTGATAATGGAGCTTCCTTCCATGCTACGTCCAAACGGGAGTTCTTCAGTACATACAAAGAAGGTGACTTTGGCATAGTGAAGATGGGGAATGAAAGCTATTCCAAAATTCTTGGAATTGGTGATATCTGCTTAAGAACTAATCTCGGCTGCCAATTGATGTTGAAAGATGTGAGACATATTCCTGATATACGTCTCAATCTGATATCCATCGGTACCCTTGATCGACAAGGATATTATCACCATATTGGCGAAGGAAAATTGAAGCTTACTAAAGGCTTAATGGTGGTAGCAAGAGCACGACTTTGTTTGTACGTTGTACCGGTCAAATGCCAAGGTTTTGAAAGGTGAGTTGAATGCTGTGGAAGACTCATCTCTAGACTTGTGGCATAAGAGGCTAGGCCACATGAGCGAGAAAGGCCTACAAGTTTTGGCAAAGAAGTCTCATATTCCCTTTGCCAAAGGTACGTCGTTAAACTCTTGTGAGCATTGTTTATTCGGAAAACAAAGAAGAGTTAGTTTTTCTGTTCCATCTACAAAGAAAGGAAACTTGTTAGATCTTGTTTATTCAGATGTGTGTGGTCCCATGGAAGTCGAGTCACTTGGAAAGAATAAATATTTTGTTACTTATATTGATGATGCTTCACGAAGGGTGTGGGTGTATTTGTTGAAATCCAAAGACCAGGTGTTTCAGACATTCCAGGAGTCCCATGCCATGGTGGAGAGGGAAATTGGGAAACCTCTCAAGTGCCTTCGTAGCGACAACGGCGGCGAGTACACATCTCACCAGTTTAGAGAGTATTGTGTAAAACATGGCATACGTCATGAGAAGACAGTTCCTGGAACTCCACAACATAACGGTGTTGCTGAAAGAATGAACCGAACCATCATGGAGAAAGTCAGGTGTATGTTGAGGACTGCAAAGTTATCTAAGCAGTTCTGGGGTGAAGCTGTAAGGACAGCCTGCTATTTGATCAACCGATCTCCATCAGTACCATTAGGTCTTGATGTTCCAGAGAGAGTATGGACTGGTAATGATGTGTCTTACTCTCATCTGAAGGTGTTTGGTTGCAAAGCTTTTGTGCATGTGCCCAAAGAGCAGAGATCGAAGTTAGACTACAAAAGCTACACCGTGCATCTTTCTTGGTTATGGCGGTGAAGATTTTGGTTACAGATTATGGGACCCATACCAGAAGAAGTTTATCCGAAGTAGAGACGTGGTCTTTTTATGAAGAACAAACAATTGGGGATTCGGATAAAGAGGCACAACCAGATGGCGCAGTCAGAGGAGTTGATCCATTAGCTTCAGATGAAGAAAGTCACGATGACATCCCTGAAGCAACTGCCAATGAAGTGCCTGCAGAATCAGATAATGCTAATCAAGATGAGCCTGATCAAGATGTGCCAAACCATGAGATTGCTGATCAGGGGGAGCCTAGTCAAGAAGAGCATATTCAAGGAGAACCCAATCAGGGGGAGCCTCCAGCCCTACAAGAGAATGAAGATCAGGTCAGAAGATCCATCAGAAGTCGAAGGCCGTCTACCAAGTATTCTTCATCAGAGTATATCATGTTGACTAATTATGGAGAGCCCGAAACATATGAGGAGGCCAGAGCTCATAACGACAGTGACAAATGGATGAAGGCAATGGAGTCGGAGATGGATTCCTTATCAAAGAATGATACCTATGAGCTGGTGGAGCTTCCAAAGGGCAGGAAAGCATTGAAAAACAAGTGGGTGTTCAAATTGAAAAGAGACGACAACATGACAAGGTACAAGGCTCGTTTGGTTGTCAAAGGTTTTGGTCAAAAGAAATAAGTTGACTTTGATGAGATTTTCTCACCGGTGGTGAAGATGACTTCCATTCGAGTTATCCTTGGTATGGCAGCAAGCATGGATCTTGAGCTCGAGCAGTTAGATGTTAAAACTGCATTTCTCCACGGCAATTTAGAAGAGGAGATATACATGGAGCAACCCAAAGGCTTTGAAGTCAAAGGTAAAGAAAATTTGGTGTGCAAGCTCAAGAAAAGTTTATATGGTCTTAAGCAGGCTCCGAGACAGTGGAATAAGAAGTTCAACTCATTCATGGTGAGTAATGGGTACAAGAGAACTCATGCTGACTCTTGTGTCTATATCAAACAATTTTCTGGAGGTACATTCATCATCTTATTGCTTTATGTTGATGACATGTTGATTGTCGGACAAGATGCTTCTATGATTAAAAAGCTCAAAGAAGAGTTATCTAAGTCCTTTGACATGAAGGACTTAGGGCCAGCCAAGCAGATTTTGGGCATGGAGATAATTCGTGACAGAAAA